CATGTAGCCATAATTCCAGTCTCTTGTGATGCAACTGGGGGAGGCTTCAGTATCATGAGATCATTTTTGGGGTAACATCTGGACCAAGGCCCCCCCCCACAGGAGAACCTTGGTGTGCCACTGCTCAGTCACATGGAACAACCTCTGTCACTTATTTTGCACACAGTCGTGCCCCCCTGGAAGTAGTAGAAAACAACAAAGGTAACCACGGCAACCATGGCACTCAGCGTAAACCTTGCAGTAAAGATAATGACGTGATCAAAGATGCCAAGAAGAAAAAGGCATCAATTCCAACGATGGAGTTTGTGACAGTGGAAGAATTTGAAGGTGTACCAAAGTAAGTTTTTTTGTCATCAAGATGATGTTGAATATGCATTGGAGGAATCTGGAAGTGGAAGTGCCATCTAACTTATTTAGGTCAAGACTTATTTTATCGCAGGATGATGGCATACGCACTACAGGCAAGATGTCAGCACCGTCAGATGTGTATCAAGGGAATCATGATATTGTCAAAGTAAGATGACAACATACCAAAAAACACTCACCAAACACAGGCTGTGAGACATCATGTCCTTTTATCAGTCAAATAAATACCATGTTTGGCAGTACGAGGACTGGCCACTTGTGTGATTTCAAGATGGCTTTAATGCACCTGTTGATGAATTATTTTGGAATGTCAGCATCCTATTTTTATAATATTTCCATCCGGTAATAAATTATCTCATGTTGTCATTCCGTGTTAAATCCAAGGATATGATCATCCTAGTTTGTAAATGTCATCATTCCCCAATAAAATATCTTGTCCGGCGTATTCTGTCATCTTCAGATAAAATATGTCAGGATCTCAATGTGTCTGATGGCATTTCCAGAGCTCTGTAGTTAAACTAGGTATACTACATGCTTTAATATTATCAATTTTTTGGAATACAAATCATTATTTAATCATGCCAAAATTGTTTTCAATGGTTGAAAAGAAATGAGGGCTTCATTTAGATTTAAATCAGACCAAAAATACCATTGTTGTTCCATCACCTTCACGGCTCAAATTGCAAGATGGAGGTGTACATGTACACTACTCAAAAAAAGTAAAGGACCACTTTTTTTTCTTAACTTGTAATTTTTTTCCAAGCAATGACTTGGGTCAAGTTCTTGCATGTTTTGTTTGTCTAGAGGGTGTTCTCATTGGAATAAAAATGTAAAAAATGTGCAATGATGCAAGAGACATTCAGCAGTAAAATGTCTCATATAAAAAAGTATACACAAAATAAAAAGTGGTCCTTAACTTCGAGTAGTGTGTAAAGCTGGCAGTTCTGTGCTTCAAGACTCCTACATATATATCATTAGACTCCTGTGTCAGTTTTATTAAGCAAGCCACTATAGCTTTCAAACACTTTTAGTTACTGTTCTCTAATGCTTGTTATGTGTCATTCTACAACACATTTTTTCTTGCCGCACAGGTCTTTTTTACCCTTCTGAGTCAGATAATTATTTCTAAATTCTGTGTGCAATGTACTTGGTGCCTTAAAACTTCACAAGCTTGTAGTTGGAACTATCTTACATGAACCATTCAGCCACCGATGAGCTTGACTTTGTTGACTGGCAGCTTCAATTCAGAAGATCAACGGGTAACAGAAGACGTGTTTTTGTATCAAGAAGAAACATGTTTCTTTGCTTGGCAGGTACATGAAGGGAAGACTGAACTATGAGACTATCAACACAGCAGTGGAGATTATAAACATCGCAATCAGAACGCGGTATTCCTTGCTACAAAAACCCAGAAATACACTGAGTGAGATGTCTCTGAAGAAAGTCCGTCAGTTGAGGGAACAGGAGAACAAAGATACTAAAGGTAGGAAGTGTCTGAAGTTGATAAGGTTAAGCAATCTTGATCGATAGTGATGTCACTCTTCATCAAATTTGAAGGGTGTGCGCAGATCTTGAAGGGCACCTATATGGTTCATTTACCCTCCTATCAAACCCTAAGTTGACGTCCTTCAGGTGGATTTTTTTTCAGATGCAATACAGTACATTCATAACTGATTTATCACCTTAGACCGAAGCAAAATGTCACAGCGTCTGGAGAAAGTTTGTAGAAGACACAATTACAACAAACCACATTTTAGTTTATATGCCAGAATGTCCTCAACTGTCTTTTAGAGTAAGGAAGTTAACAGAAACAATGGAAATTGTTAGAGGTTGTCAAGTAGATAAAAACAGCAATAAGTAAAAGCGTCCCATAAATCCCCAAAGTTCAGAGGTGTTTACATTTGGACAAAAAACGTCTAGTGCACAAGAGTGAAATGTCAATGTTGTACTACTCCCAAGAGTTCTGTCCGATAGAAAACTGACAAGATCTTTCTGATAGTTTGAAATCTTGATTGGAGCTTTGTGATTTACTTTTCCTTTTTTTGACATAAAACTTTTTCAGGTGTTTACTTCTTCACTGAAGAAGACTTCAAATCTAGCAGTAATGGGCGCTGTAGTACAACAGCTCGTTCTATCTTTACAATCTTACGACACTGTGGAAGACTACGTGAAATAAGAAGCTCAGGATTAACACGGTATGCTTTAGTTCTGTGAAAGTACAGGGAATGGAGTTTGACATCCAAATTTGACAATGTTCTACATGTAAAAGTCAAAGATTCTCCTTACTCGATATTGAAGTTTTGATTTGATAAGAATGACTGTAGCTTCAAATTAATATTGGACCCAAATTGGACAAAGCTGGAGCTTGCCTAAGGACAGGATAAAATTATGAAAAGACTTGATGTTGTGCCATTGCTGTAAAAATAATGCAAGGTATGTCAGGTGATTGCCAGATACTGTTGACATATTTCAAACTTTCTAGTTATCACGTGTTCCTGGATCATAATAAGATTAGTGTAATTACTCAAATGCACGTACATTTTTTAAATGTTGACTATGGCAGGGTTTGATCTATTGGTATTGCCAATTATCATGCCGTTGATCTCAAGGGATTTGCAAGAAGTTTTATTTTGGAAAAGATTTAATTTTGTGTGCCTACTGAGGTGTGTTACCATGCATTACTTGTCAGTTTAGGCTACGTGTATTTTCAAAATTCTTCTGTTTTTAAAATGCAGTGGTTGAATTTTTGTGGTCATCCTGCATTCACACTTTCATTTTTTGTAGGCCTTGGTATTTTCATGATCATGTTTGATTCTTCGTTAACCTGACATTTCATGGTACACATAAAGTTTGATGGTAGATCCACATCTCCTTGTAAAGTCATCATTTGCTTTGCCTTTGGTTGGAATTGTAATTATTCATGAAACAGAAACAGTACACAAAGTCTGATGAAATGTAGATGCATGTACAGTAAATGTACAGCCGTGAATGAATCATTTGATACTACTTATTATTGTGTGTAGACATTATATCACTTTCCAAAATAAAATCACTTATGGTCATTCAATATACATGCATTAAATCTGTGTGCCCGTATCTCAAGAAAATTATTAGTACTGTTATACCACCTGAATGTTTGGTGAGCTTTGAATCGCGCATTATTTTCAACGTCGAAATGGTCTTCTTATTCCCTGTTTAATGTTGTAATTTTCTCCAACATGCAAATGAAATATATTTCTGTATGACACAAATCAATCTATTTTAGAATCACGCCGAGAAGAAACATTGGAGAAATTTATTCGAATTTAGAAGCAGAAGGAACAACGTTATTCTTGAAATATATCTTGCATATACTTTTAAAGATAAAGTCACAAATAAACTCATTCCATTAGTCCAGCCAGTGACCGTGGTTCACCCCAAATCTTACCAGTATCTAAGATTCTACTGCGTTATCATGAAAGCAATAATCCTCAACCCATAAGCTAAAGCCGATATTTCCCTCCGTGATTTTCGAAATTGATGTGTGGTGCGACTCACCCCAAGCTGGTGAAGCTGTGGCCAATTTGTCGCGGGTTTCACCTCCTCAAAGCACCAGTCTGGAAAGCTTTCATTGGTCTCAACTCATCATTCGCCCCCAGCTAGCTCAAATCCATCCAGTTAAAATATACAAGTTATAAGGTGAAGGCAGCTTAAAGATGCTGTCTCCATATCTTCGTAAAATCAACTCCGTCCATCCATAAGTGAACCGCCAACGTCTGGGTCAGTTTAATTTCCTTTGTTAAACTCTTATACATGTACATGTATTTTACTGGCATTTTATCAATTCGTGAACATGTCAGTCAGTCAATGACTAGTTTGCCTCTCATTTGTTGTTTAAAGTTATGGTCGAGGTTCAGTAATGAGGGGTACCGGGAGCCCCTTTAATCAAACCTGATTTATGTATCTCCCTTATCGTCACCTAAAGTGCCAATGGTAACTCGACTTGATGTGCGGGGTTTTTAGGATACGATATGGCAACCGGCTGACTTAAATGGATTTAGTTTAATTTTCTACGCCGCTCCGAGGTACGTTATTCTATGTAAGCGCACCTTCCGAAGATTAGGCCAGGGCAAAGATTAGGATAAAAATCATTACCTTGGTTTTTGCCTCCGAGCACTGATGAAAGAGATGATGAAAAAGAAGGGTTAATTCATTATTTTGAATGATATAAGAATCTCGGACGTCTGGAAAGGGCTCCCGAGTTTTATTGTCGGTTTAATTTATCGGTATCCTGGACATGGCCAGTGTGACCAGTGATTGATCCTTCGCATCCATTTCCGAGAGCTCACGAAAAGTGTTTAAATGTACAGCTGAAATTCACATATTACCACAGCAACAAATCTTTGGCTATTGTCGAATTGCATCGACTTTACTCTTTATTTTATACTTGCATGAACGGTCCGGAGTAAGTCTAACTTATGACTTAAGTATAACTTGAAGTATTCAGGTTGTTATTACCGTTACATTCAATTTCAATTAACAGAAATATTAATTCTGAAGGACCTACTCTCGTTTTCAATTGACAGGTCTAATTTTTCCACTTTTCTGGAATTCTCTCTATTACTCATTTCCCTCTACTGACTGCAAAACCACCTAAATATTCATCTACAATCGCGCAATATTGACAGAATTCTGTTAATATAGTTGACGATGAAGTAGATATATATTTGCAGATTTAGGAATGTGAAGTACAATTGAGTTGATAAATTAATAAAATAAACGTAATTCCATCACATTTGCACGACGGAACGAAAAAAAGATTAATTTAATAACCTTATTTAGCACGAATATTGCACGTTCTCGTCATGATCTAATTATTTACAAAGAAATTCAAATATTTACAAAATTTGAAGTTCATGGTTTACTTATATTAAATTTTGCCATATATATTTATAGCAACTTCTTGTCCTTAATGCAGATGTACAATTGCTTTATCGTTAAGAAATCAGAAGCAACTGTGCACTGGCTACCTTGAAATTTTTCTCCATTTGGGGTATTTGTAGACTGGGGGTAATAGCTCCGCAATTTTTGGTTTTATTAAACCATTTAGGTGGCAGCTATCTGTTAACCATAACTGTACTGGCATCGCGTGAGCCTGATGACGTCATCTTGGGAATTAGTTTTTAAACATGTCACACAGCAATCTCTCCATGGGTGTGTTACCGATGGTACAACGAAAAAAGATTCGCTCGATCTTGTCGGATGATACTAATCGAAGAGACGGCAGTAGCAAGAGAAGGCGACCAAACCTTATAAATGGAAAATGAGGTAAACAGTGACTAGATTGAATTTCTTCATCATGAAGGATGACATAATTATACACGAAAATAAGACACATTAGACGGGTTCGTGGTACATGAATTGTGAAATGACTGGACTACTCCATCACACATTGAAGTCAAGAATAAGGATGTAGAAACTCATGACCAAACACAAACTTGCGTCAAATAAAACAGGGCCAAAATGAACACAATTAGCCGTGATCTACGGTGCACTGTCAGAGACAAACCCGCAGTGGCCTCACCATAGGAAATTGCAAGGATTACCTTTTTTACTGCCACATGTACGAACAAACACAAATGGATGAAACCGACGATTAGTAGAAATGATAACATCGTCTGACAATAGAAGGCCCTGATTCTGAAATTTGTGTGTGTGTGTTTTAAATGTCTTCATGGACTTTGAGTTTGTTTGCTTCGCTGGGGTTTTGGTGACAGGAATCCTATCGTTTACCTGCTTGGATGAGTAGGTTGTTGGCTTCTAACATGTTGACCTAGCATCACCTGGGCTTGGTCCTGCAAATTCTCAACTTGAATAGGATCCTTCAGCCCTCTGGCATCTGATGAGGTAAACAAGGAGTTTAAAAGAAAAGAGAAGGTATTTTCTGTTCAGAAATACGCTAAATCGCAAGTTAGAATCTGGACGTTTACTTGATAATTTGTTTCTTACCTGGTTTAAACAATACAATGGCCTTCATACAAGCAAATTCAGCCGCGTCCACCGCAAAAGACTTGAATCGGGCCATCACTTCTCGAAGTACCCGGATGTCTGACAACATGGCGACGGCCTTCGTGTCTGGTGACGCTGCTCCTACTTCATGGGCGTGTTCTGAAAGTGATAGAAGCGGGCAGGAATCTAGCGGCATAGACCACTGGATGGCACATAGAACGAATAACTCACTCCACGCTTCCTCGATGAGAATAACCTGTCAGAATACAAGATATTATTACCTGACGTATTGGTAAAATCTTGAGTCGGAGTTTGTAATAAGCAACTTTATTGTTTTATAAGAGTTGGCATTCACTACTTTCTTGAGATCTACATAGTTGAAGGTTATTCTCAAAGTTTGCATATTACTTTAACTAAAGCAACAGAGCCATGTTAGAAGTGCAACACATGGAGTTTGAATTTTTCGTGCTACTTTTTGAATATTAGTAAATAACATCATCGGATGAGCGTTTTCTAGTTTCAGATGCACGCAATCTGAAATCACGGCAAGCCAATGATTAAGTGCAACTTTCACATAAGTTAGTGGCAACTCAAAAGTGGGCGTAATCCCAGAGATGTAGGATGTATCCTCCCCAGTTTTTGGACAGGGATGGGCCATGATATCCCCTTATTGTGCCCAGCCCCCCCCCAATAACCCAACTTATTATACCACAAGCTATCGATTACGAAGACAGAAGTTGTGAAGACACAAAAATAAGATTTAGTATTGGTTTCAAGATGTACGGACCATGAGATAAGATTACTGTGTTAATATTAAGAGTCTTCACAATTGGATAACTTTCCAACAATCCGAACCACTTTTGGTCGTTTTAGGTTGTATTGATTTAAGGAGCCAATTACACCTTCACTTCACACGTCCTGGTTTAGGCTCACATTACTGTAGGTTTCGTTTGAAAAATAGGGAAAATAAAATATTTAGCCATACATAGGTTAACCTTAGTATGATTCATGACGATATTAGAAATAGGGAATTTCATAGCATCAGATAAATGCACGAACCCTACGAAACCCTATTTTATTAGGAGGAGTGTCTGAAGGTCCAATGTCACATGCATCTCCAACCCCCCACTCTCATCGGTCATTCTCATCCCCACCCCTACTTGCCACACACAGTTATGCCACCGAACTCAAATATCTAACCTGGTCTCTAAACGGAAGATTAGCGAAGGACGGCAGATTTTTGGCCCACTTGACGGCCATAAACAGCAATCTTGCTGAGGATTCGTAAATGTTCTCCTGAGTCCCTGGATAAATGGCCACATCACGAGCTGTGTTGTCATGATGCTGACTTCGGCCTACAGCACCTTGGCGAAGGCGTTCGTCAGACTCTATATCCATTCCACCAGTAACATCCACCTCCCCGTTGTCCTGAAGAGCTACATAAGGCGATTGACGACATCGTTCTTCATCAGTAATTAAGGAAGGACCAATGTTAAATCTAACCCTTTATTATGCCCTATGTTGAAATGTCTCGTCAAGAATCATGTTTGTATAATTGTCTTCTCCTATTTGCATGTTTTGCATCCACATTTCCACTCTCCAAAAGGGAAACACTTACCATCTTCTGGTTCGAGTTTAGCGCACGTTTCAGCAGTCATTAGGCTAGCCATGAAGCGATGGTTGATGGTTGGAGTAACCGAGCGATGCATGGTCGGTACGGTAGACGATGCTTGCTCGCCTCTGATAATGCTCCCTGGGCTACCGTCAAAATCAGGATGATCTACGGCAGTCACAGAGGGAACGCAGTCCAATCGAATCTGTGCTGTATTGCGAGGCTGTCTCTCGTTCTGTACGGCTGTCAGTTTCAGAATAAATAAGCATTATTTTATGAAAATTCTTTAATTTTTTATGCATGTTATAACTTTCAGCAGATGTATGTTGCTTGTTTTGTCACGGTAAATTCTTTTCCTGACTTAGTAAAGTCACATACACATACAAAGCTCAGGCAGTGATGAATAGAGTATTTTTTTCTAGTGTGTAGGAAAAAGAGGACTTTCATCTTTCCCGTTTTGCCTTGAGCCTTGGACGCTGTGCTCTTTCGTTCCTTTTTTCTTTTTCTTATTTTGCCCTGCAATCTTTCTTAAGAGTTATCTGTCTTGATAACGAAGCACCGCGCCACAAATTGAACGGCTCTTGAAGGCTTCTCCGGTGCGCAGTGTCAGTCAATACTGTTTAAACAAACTGCTAGAAATGACTTTTGACGTAGTTTAAAACGGCGCAGCGTCCGGCGGGTAAACGATTCTAGTTGCGCACCAGTTAACAAATTGGTATCTATTTCAGGCTGGATGGGGGTAGAAACAGCAAAATGCTATCTCGTAAATTGTGTGGTAATTGAATTGATGGTAAGGCGCAGGCCCACACCACTTTGGCTAATTCCCTACCGTGTCTCCTCCTTGTCCAGGGAATCAAGAAATTAGCGTTCAGATAATCAACGTGCAAACTGATTAGACGAAATGCAACACTTCCCACCGTTGCTCAGATCAATGATGCTCCACATTTTCACCATCGGCTTTCGTTCTTTTTTAGTTAGAAACGAGGTATGGTAAAGTGGCACAAAATGCAGGGTTCAGGTGCACATGTAGGCCTAAGTGATAGGGTACTAGTGCACCCCAAATCTCACTTTTTCTTTACGGCAGACGTATCGTGATATTTTTTACTGTAGCCGAAGTATTAATCCTGTCACTTGTGATTCGAAACCATGACTCACCCGGCCGAGGAAGGTATGATATACTGGAACAAAAGTGGCCGGGGGAAGGGGCTCATAGGCCCTCCTTCACTTTGGTCAGTGAAATGAATTGAGATAAAAATAATTTCTTCTGTGCAACGTACACAAGGGTTTAAAAAGTTTGATTTCAGAGACCCTGATTATTTACTGTTTTAAATTTTTGTCATAAATCAGTTATTTTAAGCTTAAACAACTTTATTTTCTTTTCAGAAAAAAAATTGGGAACTCATTTTCTGAAGTACCTTGTGTTGATTTCATAGTAAACGATTTGGGAAAAATGTGGGGCACATTTTTTCCAAAGCTAGAGTTATGATTTGATGTACAAGTCGTGTTATATTTTTGAATGTTGGAGTTATGAACAAGAGGAATGTGACATCAAGTCTGTTTGACTCCTCTTTGGAGGTTATGATTGCGAAGTTTGTGCCTGTGTTTTTTATGCCCTCACTACGATGGTGTGCCTCAAACATGTTGGCCATAAATCATCAACGGCCCGTTTTACCATCAGTCTCTATTAAATCATGTCTTTCCCTCTTTGCTTGCAAGCAATCCACGAGCGTGAGGTTTCAGGACCGCTGTTTAAACACCGAAGTCACGGGCAATGAGGAAATAACATAAAAACGCCCCTGATCAAATTAGTGTTGGGGGAGCGGACTATCAAATTTGAGTTTGGTCCCAGCCGCGATGTGGCGCGAAGGAAGCGTTCGATATCAAGCCCTGGCTCGGGTTTCGCTTGACGCCCAGGCACCGCCGCGGCATTCCTCAACCAAAAACCTACCGTATCTAGCTTCTTTTTTATCATCATCATCACCGTTATTATTCTCGAGATCCCCCTGACAGTCCGGTGCTTTCTCACTGCCGCTAATTTAATTTTTGCGCCGAGCTGACGGTACGGTCTGACAGGTTTCCACCCCCTAATACTCGCTCCGTGCTGCCTCTTTTTAGTCTGTGCGCAAACATCGAGCATAGCCAGTCGCTAATGCCAACACCAACAATTTTTTGGCACCAAATTATGTGATTCGTTGATAATGTGACAGCAACACTTACGCGACACTCTAAATATTGGGTCGTTTCCTTACTCGGCGAAATAGCTGAGTTTCTGCTATTGTCACGTTTCATCGTGGCGTCTTTTTTTTTTTTTTTTTACTGAAGTTTGATTTGTTAGTAAAACTGTTTTTATAAAAGTCTGCATTTTGGTTGTAGATTGCGTAAGAAGCAAATCCAACTGGTTTAAATTCCATCAAAATAATGTGACACAAATCCAACTGGGTTAAATTCCGTCAAATATGACCCAGTTGGATTTGCTTCTTACGTGTGACCTGTTCGAAATGTATTGCTAAACTTGGCCATCTGACAAAATATTTTAGTAGACGCACACTTATCTTCTCGAAATGCTTAAAATCCTTCTTAAGCACCTCCAAATTGACAGCACAAGCTCTTTATTTATATGATTTGGATAGACCATGTCACAAAATCAAAAGCTCCATCATGAAATAATAGAATTATTGTGGAAAGTCCAGATGCTTTTTAGCGTGGTTACTTACCGTCTTTATTCATGCCGGTCTCAAGACATTTCTTCAAGCGACAGGCTTGGCATTGATTGCGATGAGCTTTGTCAACTACACACATTCCCGTGCCTGCTTGACACCTGTACATCAAAACAAAAAGTCTTCATCTCAAAATGTGTCGTGTATTGAATCATATTCCTCAGTAACAAAACAAAGCCGACCCGATCGTGTTATGTTTGTCGGCTTGCGTTTTTCCCCACACCAAGAGTACTGTTTAACAAAGTCGAATTCCAAAACAAATGATAAACGCATTATAAACAAGAAAGACTTCAAAGATTTTTTTTGAAATTATTGAGTATCTTTTTTCGAAAGAGCTCGAAGTAAGCATAATGAACCGACGCAATATATATATAAATATGGCCTATTCTATAATTTAATATTTTAAGTGAGCAAAATGACTTCTTAAATGTTGTTCCTCAGTTAGGTTTGTATTTTTTGTTGGATTCTCTGCCACTCATGTCTCCATTTCTGTCTTTCTTCTAAGTGCACACGTCTGTTCGTCTAACTTCATGATGACTAGCATTCGTCCTCGTAACCATAGCAGTGTTGGCATGAGTAACTTTTCACGCGTAAATTCTGCTTGGATTGCTGAGTGGGTGCGTGTGTGTGGGGAGGAAGGGATGGACACGGCAAGGTTTGCTTAAATATGAAGCTCTACTTTGTCGATGGCAAGGTGTAAATCCAGCACCCTTCAGACGAACTTGATTCGATTGTGATACGAGCCGGAATCATACGGCGGCATTTCACATTTCGGATCACAAGTGCTACCTATCGATTGACAGACCTTGACATGAATATTTATGACGAGACACACTGATTTGTCTTCTTCAGGAAACCCTCACGCCATACGAGAAATACTTGCTTTTTATATGTCACTGGTGACTGTTTTGACGATTAGAATTGTTGCTTGTGTAACTTGTAGTGAAATTCCTGTCTTTTGTGTTGTTCTTCCGCGAAGAAGCTAAAAGTCACTTCAAATTATTTTTGTTCTATGCCGTTATGCCATGAAGAGGCCTGTACGCATCAAGCAATGTGGTAGCCTTTAACTTTATAGTCCAGGAATTTAAATATCTAGTTTGAGCAAGAGAATATTAATCTCTCTGGAAGTATGTCTTCTAAGAGGGACATTTCGTTATTTGTTTTGAGATGTAAGAGAAGAGACTTCAGGAACCAGGACAGAAGTACTGTTCCTCAGATTAAGCGCTTGCTGCGAACAGGCTTTATTATGTCCAGCGGCGAAGCGCTCTGTTCAGTAAGTAAGTAAGTCAGTCACTAACGTTCGACCCAGACCCAGACCCAGACCCCAAGCAGCTCGGTTGTGTTGTTGTGATAGATATTCCTTTAAATTGCTAATTTTTCCTTTTTTCGTCGACTCTGTCTCTATATTCTGTTTCCTGTTAGGAGGATGTTTTATTCACTGAATTTAATTCCTTTTTTGCCTCTATTTCATCTCATTTGTGTCCCGCTAGGTAGCATGTTTTGCTTACACTGCGAGCGTTTAACAACATCGAACTTATTTCTGGATCTTTCAGTCTGTATCCCTGCTGGCAGTTTTGTTCATGCATCATTTGCGTTCTAGGATTTCTGATTTCAAATAATTTCAAGAACTTTCCTCCATTGATTTCAATCAAGGGTGGTGCAAAACATTGTGCTTTGTTCCAACCATCGTCGTTCCTCCAACCATCTTTTCATATTTTAATCTTAGCGGCATCAAACTGCTTGATATTCAAGCAATTGTTTTCTCTGTTATCTCAGTTCAAGTTGACGCATGGTAAACAGTAATAATAATATTTCAGCCATTAATCTCGTCTTTTAAATTAAAACTTGATTGTAGTTTGGGGAGGTCGTGACATAACAATCATTCCAGTTTCCAACTCACTAACCACCTCTAATCTCGCCCCGCTGGGATAATATTAGTTTTTAATGTGTGTAAAATATGGATGTGACAAAGGAAAGAAAATAGCAATTAAAGTATCAGCGTATTATTTACATTCTCAGGCGATTGGTTAAGTGCTTCGTCTCAGTGTGCTGTCCCAATTCTATTACATGTTCAGTACACCGTGCTTTTAGTTATTAAAGTCCTCTGCATCTACAGGAGTTGTAGTCCTTTCAATTTTGCCTGTTCTCAATGGAACGTCATAGGGCGCTATCTCACTGCGTGACCTTGCTTGTAGATGTTGCCTCATTCTCCGCTATTAATTAAACAGTTTTCCCCTTGTTCTTTTTTTCTAAGTCTGTGACAAAGGTCTCTTTACCCGACCATATCATGCTGGTTAAATAATTGCCCTGCCTCAGTCCACAGCGTCACACGATCCTCCCGGCTTTGATGTTTGAACAATACTCGTAATGAAATTTCTCCGTTGGAAGGAGAGTGCCGCTCGTTTTTGATTGAAAAATGGTTTATTTCAGGAATAGAGCGAGGACCCCCCTTCTTTCTAAATGGATCAATGATAGAAAGTATTACTAGTTAAATGGTTTGCTCGATTGGCCACAATTACCATATCAATAAAAGCTTAATGTCCTTGTTTTACAAACTTTTTAATTACATGTGTACTCTTTGTTTTCATGAACAAGGGTCGCATCAAAATTATATTCATGACAAGTTGCCGACGTGAAATGTCCTGAAAACTTTTTCGAGTGGTTTTTTCCTTACACAAAACATTCTCAGTGAACAGCGGCATGGGGGGGGGCTTGCATGGGGTGCACGCCCCTTAAGAAATTGTCGCCCCTAGAAAACAAAGAAAATAAAAATAATCTTACATACCGGGACTTGTTCCCCCACTGTAATATTCAGCCCCCAAACTCAGTCACCCTCCGTGAGAACCTTTGTTTCACTACTTGAATTATCCCACAACTAATCGAGATTTCAATCGTGACCCCAATATTCGCCTGTGAAACAAATTCCTCGTTTTGGAATGCTGTTTATGCAAGTTATTACATACACGACTGTTTTGATTCATGCAGACAACAATTGTAATCTTTGGTGATCTTACAAAATTATCTGAAAGTTGCACAGAAGAGCATGGGTTTTTCGTTACCGAGATGGGAAATCTGTCGGCTTTTGTTCATAAAATAAGTGTTAAAAATTGAAGTGACAGTAACTCGCGCGACATTTCACACTTAAAACTCAAAGTTTAAAGATAGATAACTATCACATAACGGGAATCACATAGTAACAATGGAGTTTCAGAGATAGATGACAATTACAAAGGGGAATACAGAATCCTTTCCCAAAACAGACTCATCTAGTCACATCTTCAATTTCTTGTATTTTATGATTTAGATACAAGGTTTGACTATCTCTGCATCACCAAATACCCACCTGTAAATTAGTTTTCTACGGACGCTCCTCTTAAAGAAGCCGCTACATCCGTTACAAGCGTAGATGCCGTAGTGTTTGCCTGAGGAGATGTCTCCACAAACTCGGCATGTCAAACCGGATGTCATCCGCTTATGAGCTGAAGATGAAGACGGTAAGTCAAGTATTTAGAAACAGATTTTTATTGACCCAGTTCTCGAGATTGATTAAACTCAATGTTAAGTATTGATCTAACTTATTGGCTATAAATTACAATACCATTTTCCTTAACTGTAGCCACATTACCTTTTTTTTACAACACTGGCTGTGAATTGTTTTTAATTAGAACCCATTTTTTTTTTAAATCTTAACTCTAAGGATTTATGCGATCCTCTGAATGAAAGCAATTGTGATCGCCGAATTTGGGAGCTCTTCTATATGCTTTTGTGCGTCATCTGTACCAGTGTTATACGTCCTTTATGATGTATGCAGCATACTTTTTCCTATAATCGTGGCCTTCGATACGCACTATGTGGAACTGCGTATGCAGGTATTTGCTAGGACAGAAAGCTTTCTTCAACAAGCGAGTTTGCATATCGATTTTATTTAATCAAAATCTGGTAAAGACTAAGCACTAAAATTAGAAATATTAGATTCTATTTCATCTTTTCCCAACTCAGTATGAAACCAATATTACTCACAGGCTTCTTCCAAATCGATAATCTTCACCGATCTCAGTTTTTCTCACATCATGAAACATGGAATGGATGCTTCATTCTTATGCAAGATCTGGATAAGATTCGAAGGCTTATAATCTTTGCTTAGTATATCGTGCGAAATGGACCATACGCCTTAGCATCGATCCCACAAACGCGTCTATCACCCCACCAAAATTAAAACAAATTTCAAGGGTAAACACGGGGACAATAACACTACTCCATGTCCGTGTTATTCCTCATACATCATGTTGTTTACACATCTTGTTCAACTAAATGAGAAATCAGTCTTTCCCATCAAGTGTGTTTTTTTGTGGATGGAATATGGTAGCATAGAGGATCGATTCCAGCTGATATGACTTACCCCATACCAACATCTGGTTTGTACCGTGCGAACGTTAGAACAGCCTAATGCTTCATCTGTTTAACCAAAGGAAGGGCCATGAATTGAAAAGAACTAATTGCAATGCCCCAGTTTTGGCAAGAGTAAATGCACTTTAGGGCGGAATGCAACTGTTTCCCGAAATGAGTTGATGAACATCCCATCGTCCAATCATATTTCTGCAGTGCTGAATGGGTAGCTTTCAGACACCAATCCGTATAAGCTGTTCTTGTATACAGTGGATATCCGTCATCTTGAACTTATTAACTTCTTGAACATAAACATGATCTTTATTCCAACGACGACACGCAGACACAAACACTGGCCACGTGTATTAGTCCTCGACGACGTACAATGACATCACAAATTATCTCCATCAGATTGGTTTTTCTCCACAAATCATTGTACATATTAAACTGCTGGCTGAAGATTGGTGAAAGTTAATTTTTGTGTTTGGACAAATAAAAAGAACCTCGGATACAGTGCCAAAATTCATAATTAAAATCTTTTGTAAATAGAACTGCATAATGTCCCCGAACAGGTGCTGTCTCCGCGGTTGACGTTCATTTTATCTCGTCGACAATTTTTCTCCAATTTATGTTGGGATATAGAATGTAAAATGAATTTTATGAAGACTATGTTGTGGTTTAATTTCCTGTATCCTGTTTATTGCAGTCCATTTTGTCTTATCAGTTAGTAGTGCCCCAAAGCAGTGCCCATTCTAGCCGATAATTTGTAACCCTAAATATCCTGAGAGTGTCAACCTACCGTTACATTTTTCACTTAATAATTGTCAGAGACATCGGTTCTGACTGATGCTTGCATACTTCGCCACTACCGCGCACGTCGTCAATGTTTGATCAGGTTCTTCAAATGAGCGACCATGTCCCCGCCCTCTTCATAACGGCGTTGGGCGCTCTTTTGTCCCTGTGCCGTGCGGCGATAAACACGCCATCGACTGGGTTGTGCGTAGAGTCCTGGCCCATTTGCGACGGGGTTTTAACAAAACTTAATTTGCACCATCACGTTCGGTCGAATCAAAACTTTGAAGAGTACCAAAGTTGTTTCATTCTATTTGATATGGGACTTGTATGATTTCCCTCATAAAAATTATAGTTCAACAATGAAAATGTTTGAAGCTGTTTGCAAATGTTGCACTCATGGCTTGTGATGCAAGAATATACTCTAAAGATGCACTGAGTTTGAACGGAATATTTGATATGAAGGTACACGCGCAGATTTTTTGTACACACGTGTTCTATGAATATAGTTGTCCAACATTGAATTGAAAGGTAATTCTTCATCAAAGTGGACAATGTATATCGTTTTAATAAATTGTTTTTCACCGTCGGCTATTTTACAACGTATTAATACAAGCCTTGAAGTCATGTCATGTCGCGTGTCAGAGGCATGTCGTTTGTATCACGTATGATAAATTATATCTGACCAATAAATTTTGATGTTTTCTCCCTTTCCGCAAGATTACCCGTACATGGTAGCGTAATCGGATTAATAAGTGAAACAGCTGTTGTGAACTCATGGCCGATGGGTTGAGTGCAATCATTATTAGAGAACTGGCAATATCCCGGTACGTATAAGACGCGCGCAGATCCGGCGGCACTGCAGCGGCCTCGACGTACACACACCTCGTCATTTATATCCTGAAGGCACAAATGGTTAACTTAGCGTGCATCGTCAGCTCGCGAAGACCTCCCAAATCAAAACCGAAACATTTAGGTATGGAAATCGCGATTTATTCAGTGAGAGAGGGGAAACTGGCAAACCAAATAAGCAGGCGAGCCTAGTGCGGCAGATGCTTTCTATCTGTCTTTAATCATGAGTTTCTCTAGCGGCGGCGCGGTTTGATTTGAGGCCCGATGCTTGGGGTTGACGCGATCTGAACTGTCACATTTAGCGTAGGCACCTGCTATCCTCAGGCTAAAGCAGAGCCGACGACTTGCTAGAATCACCGGCGATGCATACGAGGAGATTCACTGGCTGCAATAGGTTACCGTCGTTTTGTCAGATGGGCAATTGGTCAACTTGAGGCATAGGCTGCTTATTATTGCAAAGTCGCGTGAAAAGTGTGGTTGACTTTTTGGAGAGGAAAGATATGTGCAAGAATCATTCGAGGATATATTATTGGTATACTCTGTAAACATTTTGTGCAGAATGTAATGTATGCATAGGTTTATATCCTAACGTGAAGCACCCATTCCTGATAGTTTTGAACATATAATTCTGCAACCGTAATGGTAGTCTAAAAAAGACAGCTGATTACGCCAACAGTGTTTTGGCTTTTTTTTTAAAGAATCGCCGTAGCAAAGTGTTAGATGACCTTGTTAGCTTTAAGTTTATCATTGTAGGCCAACTGATTGAATTATAGCTAAATGGATTCGTTCACAGTTGTCAACAACATTCATGCTTTGCGAGTAGTTGACATAATGTAGCCGTGTTTTTTTTCTTTTTTCGTTGCACGAAAGTCTTAAAGGGTTTGCCGATATCAAGATGTTTGTTGTATGTTTTATCGCTTGCTTTGCTATAGGAACACAACACCAACTTTGTTTCAGTGTTGTCAAATTGGCGTTGTGTAGTTTTCACTCTGAAGACTTATTGTACAGTTCGGTTTCCTTTTTAACTTATTGTTATCTGAATCCACAGTCTCATCGTCAAGGCTTTACAATTTAGATTATTGAATTTCTGAGATGTCTAGTCAGTAGACGTCCAGAGCAGATAACCAAACTACCTTTGCTGAGATAAAATTCATTTTCTTCAGAGGATCGCCTTTTACAGATATTAAAATCGAAAAAATGAAGTATGAGTGACAATATTCTGCCATAAAAATATGAAATTGAATAATACTCGAAAGCCTTGTAGTTGTAGGTGACTAATTTGTACATTGTTGTCAGTGTGGTTCACAGTCATTATCGTCTAAAGGTTATGACAAACGACATGTCTATGCTCAGTGCAAACAAATCAGTCACCGTGAAAGGGGTTGCTTGATCTTTTCCACTGGGCAGCTGGCGATGTGTTCCGGAGTGCGGACTCTCATGGTTCTTTACCACCTTACCCGCCTGGGGCTAGACTACACCGTGGGGCACTCACTCAGGCACGCCCGCTGGCTTGCGCTTGGCTTGCAGCACTGCAAGAATGATTCTGACATCTCAGCGGATTTGAGTTTCTACGGGTTTCCTCGTTCAACACCTGCTTAGACCCAGGCGCTTTGTCACCCAGACCCTGCCATCGGATACGACGGCTTGGTCGGAGGAATGATTGTATGGACGGAAGCGTCATACTGCTCAGTCTTTTTGTCAGCTAGTTACAGCTAGTTAATACTTTGCCCGTGAGTTCACTGATTATAAACCTTGACTTTTGTCGGTAAAGTTGGCATTTTGAGCCATCGAAGCAAAGTCGGTTTTCTTAAATTAAAAAGTGAGACGCCTTGAGTGTATTGAGAAAGTGACCGGATTGGACCACGTACGGGATGCCAGTGCAGAATGGATGCCTAGTGTCAAGTCCTTATATATCCATACTAAAGAACAACAACAATACTTCAAAGCCTGTCTATCACTGGCATGGTATGCAAACATGCACCTGCTCATGTTGAACCGAGGGTAGACATGTTAGAAATATCTGATTTCATCTTTCAGCTTTTGTTTTCTTTGTTCGTGTATTTCGGAAATGACACAACAAAGATCTCACTCAAGTTTTTAAAGAACAAACTCTGCGGAATATAAGCTTCACAAATAAATTATTGGTTACTTTACTTACTTAGACTGATAATGATGTCAAATACTTAACGCATGCAAGAGTCACCACCAAGTCAAATATTCTGTAAGTAATCCGTTTACATGTACCTAAAATCAACATAAGTCTTTCAAGTTCTCAAAACGCTGTAGTACCCAGTAATTGGATTTCTACAAAATAGGTTTCTTTTAATGATTAAAAGATTTGAATTTACAAAAGGGACATTAACTGTGACATAGGGCTGACTGTACCCCCTCAAAAATCCGTTTCCTATGAAATGACAAACGATCCTTTTGTTTGGTCGAAGATAAATGCATTTGCCTGCTAAAGCCCAAGATCTGGCATATGATAAGTGATACGTCGGTAAAATTCCTCCCTAGGTGACATGCTATTGTGCTCGTCGTGTCACTTTCTTCTTCCCATTACCTTATCAGAAATAGTTCACTATGCTGAAGGCACTGTCAGACAAGTCAGACAAACGCTGTGTGATCCATGATGAATACACTGACCCTAGAAGTATCCACGTACAGTAACCACAAAATCATCCCTTCTTGTATGAAAACCAGGTTTCTGTATGTTTGTTACTTCTTTGTACCGTTGATTAACACGTATCTTAAGATCACCCGAAGTCTTTTTTACTCAATTGCTTTCGTATACTCTTTCTCCACTTTCTCTCCTTTCTATTCCAAGTACAGCCCACTCAAACTACTGTGCTTTTTTAAACGCGAGTTCAGTTAGTGCTGGGGGATTTAAGGTCGAGAAAGGAACATTGACAATAACATGTTCAGGCCTAATACTGAGCAAGATTTCCTGGGTGAGAATGGGCTTATTTCAAAGTCTAACGTTCTTTCTTACAGCATTGAAAGTATGTACTGCGCATTAATTTGCCTCTTAAAGGTCATGAACTTTGTTAACTGCTGTAACTGTAGAAGTTAAGGTACCATAATTGGACAACGCCAGTAAAATTAAATCGAAGAAAATTTTGTATTCAAGCCTAACAACTTCCATCACGAGGAAAATCATTCAAGAAATTTCTTATAGAGAATAAAGTTACGAAATACCGCTTAGTGTGCCTAGTTTATAATTAAAGGGCTAAAACATTTCTAAGTTTATATTTGAATGGTCCCGACCTTCATTTTGAATCTTGATACCCCATTAAGGTGTAATTCACAGCCATTGTGCATTTTCAGTTTATAAAACTCAAAACCTTGCACTGAATATTCTGATTGAACTCACCTGACTCCGACATATCCGAGCCGTGGTCTTGTCCCATCCTTACCACCTCCATGTCCATGTTGAATCTCTTGGAAGTATGAGTTGCGACCTCAGTCCTGGAAGTGAAGATTACCGATGAAAGCCGTCCACTGTTGCTGTAGTCTCTTCACGCAGTCGGTGTCTGTCTGTGTGACTGTACCGTGTTATGCCCAACACCTCCCCCGCTGCTTAAACGAAAACACGCCCGTCTACGCGACACGCGCCCTACGCTCCACTTCACCGTACAGCCGGCAAAATCAAGACGCTGACTGGATTTATGAAAAATCCATCTAATAATAACTGTTTATTTTCTGACTGATTGCTTCTCAGTTGTACACCGTCAGATGCCGGCGGAGGGTGACTGATGTGTGCTAGAATAAACCCCTCCTTCTTTTTTCCCACCCCCACCGGCACGATTATAACATTTATTTTCTCTTTTCTCTCCTCGCTTGGGCTTCTGCCGGTTTGTAATTGTCTCGTCATGCAAACTTTTGATTGGTCGATGTTTGACGATATACCGCTAGGTAGACGTTGGGGTCGCACTGCTTGATAAGATTGACAGACAACTAGTGCCCTGACTTTATTATGTTATCCACTGTAGTGTGGAATTGGAATATCTTTTTACCAATCTATTTCTATCAGCCGAATCTCCTTTTTAAGAAATACAGAAGAATATTGTGGGTTTGTTGAATTGTACTTAACCGATTACATTGAATCGCTCGAACTTGTCATGATCAATAAGTGGTCGTGAAAGTTAGTCATTCTTGCTGTCTATTAGTAGAGCTTGCTGAAAATCTCGGTGAATAATATCTTTACCACTATGTTTTTTCTTATTTAAGTACATGTTGCCTCGTTAGACGGCATCGTTTGGTTTGATCTTGTTTTTACTGCCGTTTTCATTTCAGATATACATGTATGTAAGTCTGGCTGTTTTTCTGTCGGTATTTTCAGTGTAATTGGTACTGTTGTTCCTCTTGCTGATTTAGTCACAGTGAAATCACAAGTACATTTTCTATACTGGGATGCAAACACTTGTCTCTCTTTCTTTTGTGATTTCTCTTGAAGATAACACTCACTGACTCCGTTGACATTACAAAGTTGGGAAACTTGGTTCCAAAGTTCCCTTTTTTGGTGCCAATCGTAGGCTAAACATCTTGCAATGATTGGTTCGGTAGACAGGCAAGACATTTGAGCCGCTGGGACTGCGAGAGCCGATCCAAATATTGCACTACTAAATCTAATTTGAAGACACCGCTTTGCTCTTACACTCTCGCGGATTGGATTGGCTAATACAATTGCCGCACGGATCAATCACAGAGTCGTGTTTTGGCGGACGTCAGGAAAAATGGGCAGCCGAGAAACGGCGCGCCTGTACCGCAGAGTGTCATTGTGACGGACGGGTGATTGTAACCGATTTACGGAATGGGTTGCGAAGTTCATGAGGGGTATTGTTAACACCAAAGATGTGCACAAGTCTTCCTTCCATGGCAGTTCAAGTTTCTCCTCTAGAAAGTCATCGGATAGACCTGCTCTGGTTTCTTTGTCTGTGTTAGTGGAGACATTTTTGGGGGAGAAAATCTAACTTTGAGTAATTCCGATATATTGAGCTGTAACCTTAGATGATCATAACCTCGGGGATTAACCATCGACGGAGCAGACCCCTGGGCCGTAATAGACACCTTTTTGACGGGTCAGTATCGAGATACGCGCGGTGCTTGCTCATCAGTCTAGAGTGAAATCTACATCGTATATGCTACATTCTGGTCTAATGATACATGTCAAGTTCAACTCCATTTTACCCTGTCGAACTGACAACAGCCCTTAAACGGAGCTGCATTTCCACGAGATCTTTGACGATAGATCTTAAGCGATGTAAAGTTACTTTATTTTCCCGCAGCAATATATATTTTTTTCTTCCTGGCTCGGTTTCCCTGTTAGCATCATATGATATCGCGTGTCAGAGTCCCCTGTCAGTGACCCTAAAGCATACCTTGATCTATTCGCAATATAAGCCACGTATGAGCAAAGCCAACATAGCTTATTAAACTACGATGACCCAATATAAACAATGACTCTTCGTCAGACAAAAGAAGACAATTTGGTTGAGAATTTAGGACTGTAAATAGAAAATGTACGACTGAATTACCGCCATCAGAATAAGATGTTATCGCATAATATGTGGTGGTTTTATTCCATACGATACTAATATCAATCCATTCTTTTTATTTCTATCACAAAAGACGACCATCATTCACCACCGTTTTGTAGAAACTCGGAAAGGGGAAATTAAATCGAGCAAAATGGTCTTGTTTTCTTAATGGGCTAAATATTTGTCAAGTAAATTTTAAAGTAACGAGTGGGAAAACCAGGCATGAGACTAAGATTGTTCTTGGGTGGATGGATGGTAGGGATGGTGGGGGATGCATGTGTCCCATTTCTCTTGCAATATCCGAGGGCATGTCCCATGAGAATTTAAGGATTGTTCATTGGAGTTTGTGCCGTCTGCCAGGGTCAGAGGGTTAGACAGCTTCTCCTAGATGTTCCACCAGGTTGACGGAAAGCAATAATGTGTTTACAAGCATCGTATTGCCAAATGTGAATAGGATTATAGTGTTGACATCATGAACCCTAAAAATGGATTTTTGTCTTGAAGGTTCTTTACATGAAATGTACTTCATCACTGGGACGTACTAAAGCAAATTGCTCACATAAACTCTTACTACATGATACACCTTCAGTTTGACATTCAGGCGAATTACACCGTATCGGGTACGGCAAACACAAGCTAAATTATCCAGGGGCGTGTACGATCACGCCTAGCGCTCAGCCCTGGGTCTTAAGTTTCGGTAATCAAAACTTCTGAAAATGGTGTGTAATAGAGTGGGAGTCGATGGCAATTGAAGCGCCCTGTAGGCTAGATAGCCACCGGAGACGATGATAGATTTTCGTTTGTGTGATCGAATTGCCAGTTTCTTGAACTGAAGCCATCTCGAGTTCATAATCTGCTTACGATTTTACCTAACACCTAAAAAGTACAGTTTCTGTTCGCTAAGCTTGCTTTGAATAAAATGAAGACACCATTTTTGTTGTCACTTATAAAGATAATTCCTTCAAGAGCGGTCAATTTTTACTCAAAATATTATAACATTAAAGGAATTACCTGTCAGTAATTTTTATGAAATTTTGATCCTTCAGTTGCTTGGCAAAATGTTTGCTTTTTCATACATTTTGAGAGAGGCTATCGTTCATTTCATCAGTGTGTTTATAACATCTAGCTATACACCATATGTTTGTCGTAAAAACAGACAAGGTTCTTTACATGAAGTGTTAGAGAACCTTTCGTTCATTAATTTTTTAGCCCCATCAACTCACGATTTCCTCAAAGATCTTGATTTCTTGCATTTACCACGCTCTTATCCCACGAGACAATGACAATGTAGTATTCAAGATCAAGGTTATCTCGAGAGGACAACAGTCCCGAGACCTTATGATATTCTTTGGAGCTTAAACCTTTCCTGTGCCCCAGTTATTAAATTATAAAATCGATGACGGTTTCGTATTAACGTTTGGAGAGTAATTAGTCGATACAAGAATCGTCTGTTGTCTGTTCGTACATGCGATAAGAGGACAATGAGAACCTCAAGGTTATTCAGAAGAGCCGTACACGGTAGAGCAATGCTATGGTATTGTTATCGGGATACGCACATCAATGAAGAGTATTGCTCGATACGATAGAATGATATCTTACTGTTGTTTGAAGTGTTGTTAATGCATATATAATGACGGTGGGAAGATGAAAGATAACGATACTCACGTATATTTGGTGTCGAGGTGGAGTCATTTAATTGTTTTGGAGAAGAAGGGGCCTGTTGTTGTCCACGTGTAGTTCTCAGGAGTTTAATTATGGCTATATAGGCCTGCGCATGAACGACGTGCCTGTGTCGAAAAAAGAATTAACAAACCAATATTCTTTTTTGAAGGAAAAAATAAAATATTTAAAGAGTTTATTTTGACTGTAGTAATGCTTGTGTCAAGTATCGCGATTGTAAGGCTGGAAGTTCTCATACAGATCGTAAGAAATGTTTCCATCGGCTTAGTCTAAACCAGCTTTTAGGACTTCATTTTTGGAACCGGATCAGTGAGCCAGCGTAAAGCTTCTACACCAATAATATCTTTTTGAATGTGAAATCTTCGTGTTACTGAAATGGATTCCACATTGTTAATTTGCCTATGCATTATTTGGAACGGTCCTTTACGAAATAAAAGATTTGAAAACACTTGAAGATATAAAAAATGTCGTTTGAGTACTGTAACTAATTCTCTTTGATATCACTGTCACGTTGATCCATGCACCTCGTATATGGACTTGATCCGATTATTGCAATCTTAGCAAACTGGTCTTGACTATAATACACCAATCCTTGTCTCAATCACCCTCAGGGCAAACGTCACGGTCGTATGAAGGAGGCTTTTAGCTGTCGAGAAGAACACTTTCTAGCTGATCCAATTTGCGTAAATCTCGGGTTAGATCAGGTTATTCGTCGCTTTCTGCGAGAAATAAAAGGCAAAAATGTAACAGTATAATCGGGAGAAGCTACAAATCCGTCACTTCATTTTCTTGAAGTTAAATTGCGGGCACTGACCAAAATTCAATTGTATCAATCTGTGAAGCAGGAAATTTTAGTTACCAGGAAATTTCTCTGCTTAGCAACATATACTGTAACTGTAGACTATCTAAACACATCTGCTTAATTGTACCATACTGTGCTAAGTAAATTAGAGTTTGAACCATTTTATGAAATTTGCAAATACATATACGGATGTATATGCACAAAGAATGACAATTAAGCATTAATAATACAATACCACTATGAATAAGTTCTTTTAAAAAGAATTCTTTCAGAAAATAATAATATCTAAGTATTTATAAGGCACACAGTATCTAACAGTAAATGTCCTTAAAAGGTGTTAATGTATTATCATTGTCCCGATCACAAGGGGCTCTTAACATCCAAACATTCCTAAAACCATCTCAGCTCCATAGGAATATACAAGCCTGATGCACAAACACCTAAACATAACCATATATGTCCTAGCAGGTACCGGTACCCATTTACTCCTGGCTAGAAAGGGCACGTAGGGGTGAAGTGACTTGCCCCAGATCATAATTTCACCACCTACTGGATTCGAACCCTCGACCCTATATGATCTGAAGCTACAAACCTAAACTTTACTTCGATTCGAAATTTGTTAAATTTTCTCTGAAGTAATGAAATGTATTCTATACGATATCTTTTTATACTCACTGCAAACTTGACATAGGCCTACATCGAATTGAATGTATTTAAAATTCATCTCGATTCTCCAATTTGAGGCTGTTAAATTTTCCCTTTTGCGTCATATCTAACTGTCTTCCATAGAT